CCCACACACACACACACACACGCTCTGTTGCACAGGTCTTCCTCTCTGTATTCTGTATTTTTGTATGTTATACATTTGTTTGTTGCAACTTAGATAGTYCTGAAATGCGATTGCCTTCTGGGACTTATAAAGCAAATGCAAGTATATTACACAGCTATTACTTTTTTACAGTTTATCTTATTACTTTGTGCAGATTAGTCAAACTTAAACCAGCTAGACAGTCATCCACTGATTAGTACTATGAAACTACAAACCCAGAGATAAATAAAGTATGTTATGATGTCATATTATACTGCCTTTTATGTTGCCTTAGACTACACTGCCTATGATGTCTTCCTATTATGTTATGATGTCTTAGATTATCCTGCCTTTTTACCTATTTAGATTTATACTTCCTACTTTGGTTATACTGCCTGCTTTTTTCTCTTTTATTTGTTTGTATAATTTCTTAAGCCATGTAAAGCACTTTGTATAACCTTGCTGCTGAAAAGTGCATATAAATAAAATTTACCTTACCTAAAATGCACCAGGAATAAAAATAAATWAACAAAATAAATTGAGGAGTGTGGCTAAAATTGTCTAAATCCTAGGTGCTGAGTTTCAGTATTAGAAAAGGCACAGCAAGACAGAGTGCAGCTCCTCTCTGCATCACCATGTACCAAAGGGTGGGGGATGAAAATGCATGGGGTACAAAGACTCATGAGCTGACATTTCGACAAACAGCAGAGGGAAAAATAAAATTCTGCACAGACAAAACAAAACTGCATCAACTAAAAGCAATCTATGCATTCACATTTGTGATACTTTCACACCATGACTCACACAGAAACTTCATCCAAGCCAACAACTTACAATATACTGAGCTGTTTGGCACACGCAGCCCTGCACCAGCACCCCCACTTAATTAAGAATCCGGATTCTTTCAGGCTTTTGTTTTACACGCATTATTTCTGAACTATTTGTCATGGAATTTGCAACATCTCCAGTTGATGTGTGAGCACTGCAGCACAGTAGGCCTATTTATTTGCAGAGTTAGTTGCTATTAAAACTGGTGAGAACAGCGTTGCACCGGGAAAGACTCCGGCTGAACGGACTGCTTTCCTAATRGGAGAAACAGTTTAATTGCCTGAAATTAGCGTCACAAATACTTTATTGAATAAAAATATCTGAATATTTTGATATATTTTCATTTCAAAAGTAGGCCCTCTGCTGCTCCACTAACATGTCACAGTGCGTAAGTGAACAAACAACCAGGTCAAACTGAGTTTCTGTTTCAAGCCAGATAAAAAAGAATGACTGGCATCTCTTCTTGCACAATATATCTTCAAGAAAGAACCTTTCTGTGTCTCACATCAGTCCTAGATAAGAGGAAAAATGCTTTCATATAAGTTAAAACACAGTTTGACTCTATGCAGAAAAATGAGAGTTTAAAAATTTAACTGGTAAATTTAGAGTCTGTTTTGCCTTTAATAGAAATCAACCTGAGAACAGAATATCAGCCTGGTCTTGATTTCTACTTTTTCACAGCAACATGTAAAATCTCTATGACCACAAGAGAGTGTTGAGTCTATTAATGTTGTAAAAGCACAATTAAACKCTGGCTGAAATGTCATGCCAATGTATTTTTGCAAAACATGAATCTAAAGGTAATCCATATTAGACACAAGCAATTAGTTCTGGCAGCAGGACAGGAGAGGCAAAGCTCTGCAGGCTTTTATACAGATAGAAACAKCCAGAAACTGACTGAACTCCACAAAAACACATCTGTTGTGACTCAGATATTCACATGTGCTCTCTACRTCGTTCAAGACTACTGACATTTAGAAAAACAGTCTCCTCGATATTTTTTTCTGCTTTTTTCTATTAACTCCTCTTGTTCTACGACACAGTGCAGACCGTCTCACCTGCTGTGAGATTGAGATTCATGATGAATGAGCTTCTGGACTCGCTGTGAAGCTGCAGGTCACAGAAATCCTCCTGGAATTYAAGCGGCAGGTGAAGAGTGCAGAGAGAGTGTGTCCTGTAGCAGCTGTTATCCACGCAGAGCAAAGGAAAGTGGAGCCAGCAGGATGTGGGCTGAAGAGGGAGCTCTTCATCTCCTGTTTCTGGCGTTCCCGCGAGCTGATGAAGAGACCCTGCCATCAGGGGAACGCCTTGTTGGTTTATCAGATCCTGCCCATTTCCTTCCCTTCCTCCCCCTATCTCTCACTAAATATTAGATTTTCAGATGAAGCAATGGTGTGCAGCTGCTTCTGAAGAGTCGTGGTTTAAAAATGAAAGGAGAAAGGAAGTTAAATTATTTGTGTGCCCAATAACTGGAATCTCTACCAGCAACTTTCATCAGTCATCTAGCAGGTACTGATTCTAGATCAAAATTAAAAATATATATATTGATTACTCTTACACAGATAAAATTGTTCACTTCATATATTTTCCAACTTTTAGTACAGACAAAATCTGAAAAGCATCAAGGTTCTCTGAGGTCACTTTCATGTACCGTAAAGGCAACAGAAACTGTGCATTCTGAGAAAATGCAGTGTTTCAGCTTAGCGCTGAAAAAGATTTTAGCTAAAAAAAGCTAAAAGTAGCTGAAATAGCTGAAACAGAAAGAGCACATCAGGCTGAATTAAGCAGCAGTAAGAAGCTGAAGTTGTCACAAAAAGATGAATTTAGCTGACAAAAGCTCAAACTAGCTAAAAACACTGAAAACAGCTGAAATTAGCAGAAAGCAGCTGAAAGAATCAAACTATTTAAATTAGAAGAAAAGCAGTTGTATGTTGAATTTATGTTGACTTGTTTTAAAAACGTTTATATTAGAAGAAAAGCAAAAAAGATCAATGGCTAAAAATGGCTGAAAAAATGTAATCAGCTAAAATTAGTAGAAAAGTTTCATAAAAAAAAGCAGAACTAGAACAAACGGGAAAAGGCATAGTAAAAATGTGAAAAATCGCTGAAAGAAGCAGAATTTCAACTGAAATATCAGAAAAAATGTAATCAGCAAAAAAATAGCTAAAATTAGTAGAAAAGTTTCATAAAAAAAAGCAGAACTAGAACAAACGGGAAAAGGCATAGTAAAAATGTCTGAACATTTTAAACGGTTTTATTTTGTAAAGAACAGCTTCATTCATTTTTAATTAGAAAAACATTGCAGAGAAGGCTGAATAGCTCAAAAGGTAGAAACTGTCAAAAGTGCCAAAAATCATAMCTGAATTGTCCTGAAAGGATTTTTGATATATAAATTGTCGAAATAGCAGAATGAGATCCTTGCCAAAAAAAGTACAGAAGAAAAAATGGTGTCAATAGTGTAAATGCTTTAACAGTGTTCATGGAAATCCTGTAGAATGAACACCAAGGTGACGGTAACATCGTGCAGGCACAACTGGTTATCACTGAACTTATAGCAGCTGGGAGTTGAAGAAAACTTGTTTGCAATTTGACAACCATGTAGCCGTTTAATTAATTTAGGAAGCCGATTTAATTTCCTTGAGAAATTCAATCAGCTGTAATAAAAACATCAATATTATCAGRATATTGACACAAATGAAATGAACCAGCAGAACTTTAAAAACTAAGATTAAATGAAAGCAAAAAGCCACAACTACCTGCACAGAATAGGGAAATGAGGTGCTCCAAACTGTTGCTGAATCATGTCAGTTTGGGATAACCAACCCAGGCAATATGAATATTTTACAGTGTGCAAAAGGATTTTGCATCATAAGAAACAGATATATTCTATCAAAAAGTATACCTGCAGCATCCCAAGCACAGTATCCAGAGAAAATGAGCTATTAAGATAAGAATTTAGCAACAGGATTATGTGTTTACCCTTCATGGTTTCATAAAGGAGCACTGCAGCAGCCRGGTTCACTCGGATTACTATAACATCTGCAGAAAACTATTTTGCCAATCTTTCCATTAAATTAATACCAAGTAATTCATAATGGAAACATGGAACCTTCACCACRATCATTACCTTCAGTGTTAAAAGCTGCAGCAGACCCACACTATGCAGACAGAATGGCACACTTTTGCAACCTCACTGAAGGACAGGGGTTTAAAATAGAACAAACAAGCCTGTAGTCAATCAGCCTGCTACTCAAGCAGCACCGGTACAGAGCCTCAAACAAGCCCAACGCAGGTGCACAGACTCACCAGCGTCTAATCCTCCAACAGACAAAGGCTTTGGCAAAAATCGAAAGAAATGCCCTCTRGTTAACATTCAACACACTCCAT